ACCCCCCCTGAGGCCTGATCACGCCAATGGGCAGTGCATTCTGAGGAGGGCAAATGGCGCCACATTCGTTTAACACTTAAATTCAATATAAATAGCACCGATTGAAATGGCTAATTTAATCTCAATGGACAGGAAGATTTAGCGCTTTTATCGGAATCAAATTAAAATAACTCGTGTCTCAACCTAAAGCCCATAATTCAAATCGATAAAAAGTGTCAAAAAAAAAAGGAAAACCATAACACAACTTTTTAAGAGTTGGTTTTATAATAAGTCATGTAGCCTTTTTCCACCAAGGTGCATCGTAGATCCTTGTTGTGTGTGAGAATTAATATACTATAAAATTTTAACTCCATCAGTGATTCACACTGTGTAGTGATACAGTAGGTGATGTTATTAAACGAAGAGGCCGATTACAGGCGAGTTCGTCGATTTCGAAATATCTCTCTAATTTTCAATCCTAATTTCGACATGCATTTTCGGTGAGATATCCAGCTTATCGTGATCCCCAAGGATAGCCTTCCGAAAATGCGGGATATGGGGGCGATTTTTCGTGCGATCCAGGGCCCCCTTGGTAAAGTTATCGGCGTCCTGCAGAAGGTCCACCACCGCGATCGCGTTCGAAGCCCCATACCGAACTTCACCCAAAGACGTTCCTCGGGCGAAAGCGCGGATTGCGAAGGGCTGGTGAGGAGTTTGAGGCCTTCATTAAGGTTCGACTGCGAGGGCGTAAGCCGCATCCAGCGCCAAGACGATTTTCGGTTTCGCACCTCGCCATCCTCGACCTCGACGGCGAAGGTATGACTTGGACTTTCCACGTACGGCGTTAGCGGACTTGATGGGACTATCTCCTCCTCGAAGACCGCGTCGTAGGACTTTTTAGACTCTCTATTGTGTTCGTCGATAAAGGCGACAAACTTGGCCTGAATCCCGGCGTTTAGATCTCTATAAAGATAGGCTAGCTGCAGGGCGATCGCGAGCAAGATCGCGATCCGATACAATGCACTAAACAAGATCGCAATTTCATTGCCAACGTAGCCAGAACACGTCATAATGGTGGAGTTCAGAAAATCAACCTCAACTCGCCGCGCCCCGGACTGATCCAACCCCCGATGCCCAATACGAACCGAGAAAGGGCTTTTTACAAATTCATCGGTCGAGTTATGGTATAGCAAATCATCGGCCGCGGAGACCATTGAGCTGGTATTGTACACCTCATCGAGGAACGACTTCGTTGGCGTCTCGTTTGGATTGCGCAGCTCCCGATGGGCACCCGAGCTCCCCGATCGAAACCTCGCAATCCCGCCATTCACCCACCGTACGGCATCCTTGATGGGCCGCAAAAGCCACCCCATCACCCTTTCCAAGACCCGCCGCGCGTTCCCCACCCTGATGGTGAAGTAAAACAGCTTCGGTGAGGTGTAGAGCGACGTCCCGGTCAGACGATCAAAGTGGAACTTCTCGTACGCGACTTGGACCAATGGGTTCATCAAAATAACAGGGGTCCGGCCCTCGTGCAAAAGCGCGGTTTGGATGACATCCTCGCAAAACAGTAAACACTCCGAGGAGGCGCACACCTTATCGCGAACCTCACGCTCTTTTTTGAAGAACGTGGCCCCAAAGGAGGGCGTGAAGGAGTGGCGAAAGTACAAGGTGGGCCTTCGGGCTTGGTAGTAGACCGCATCATTCAGGACGTAGTGCCCGTCCGTTAAAAACGAATTCGGCGACGTGGAAGAATGCGGCGGCGAATTACTGCGTTGTTCTTTCGCATTGGGCTGAGATTTCAGCCTCAGGATGACATTGGACCGATTACCACGCTGGACGGCTCCTCCATTCACCCGGGGAGCACTCGGGGACAACTTGATCCAGTGGAATAAACCCGCCACCTTCTCTCTTGTCGACTTATCGGTCCGTTCGTCCTTTTTGTGATCCCTCTCGAAGGGTATGAGATTATTCTTTCGCAGCTCATTCACACGTCTCGACACGTATTCATGCAGCTCAGCTTGAAGGGATTTGATGCTTTGCTTCGCAGGTTCATGGGGCTCGATCGATGGCGGGAGTTCCCACCCCGATAGCGTTCGCACGATCGCATAGGCATCACGCCATAACTTGCGAAGGTCAACCAGGCGCTGCGTGAGAACATACTCGTAGTGCTTTTCAAGCGCCATCATGAATTTCAATTCGACTTCGCTCGCATCCGACTCCCCTCCCGCGGGGGCGCTATGGTTGTACCCCA